GGTCTCCTCTTCTGATAGAGTCTCTCTGAGTCAGAATTGACCCAATGACAGTGGGTTTGTTTGTTTGGTTTTTAAACATCGTTTAATAATATTTTTATCCAAATGTAATTGGCACAGAGAAAAGTTCAAAGCATAGTGAATTATTATCACATGATGAATACACCTATGTCATGAGTCCTGGTGGCGTAGTGACTCATTGGGCTGCTAACTGTAAGGACAGCCAATTACAAGCTACTCCTAGGGAGAAATATAAGGCTTACCGCTCCTGTAAAGAGTTACAGTCCTGGAAACCTTCAGAGGCAGTTCTGCTCTGTGCTATAGCATCTATATGAGTCAGAATTCACTCAGTGGCAGTGAGTTTGAGCTTTGGACCAGTGCTTATATCAAGAAATAAAACAGAACCAGCATCCTGGAAGCATCCCTCAAGTGCCCTCCAAGTCAATTGTGGTTGTTATGTAATCTGTTGTCAATTTGAGACTTAAGAGTGAAGGGGTGGAGTTTAGCTTGCTATCAGGTCGCAGCTTGATGACCTCATTTGGAGGTGCTAAGGAGATAAATAGCTCGCTGGAGGTGGGACACATGCTCTCTCCCTGCGAGACATTTCCATTGACAAGACACATGGAGGTACACTAAAGCTCTGGAGCCAGAGCAGCCATGTGGTGAACCCTACCAGTGCTGAGATGCTTCAACTGCCACTGGATCCACAAGACCTTCCACCCACTGGCCTGTGATCTTCCTGCACTCGGCATCATTGCACGTGTTTCATGAGACTGAAGAGGACTTTATAGATTAGTATTGGACAAATGGCTAATATCAGACTATGGACTTGATCTGGCTTGGGCTGGATGTTGTCTGAATATTCAATTGCTCTTGTATATAAAACTCTTTCTTATATACATATGAGTGTCCATGAACTTTTTCTTGTAGTCTATCCGGACTAACACATCAATCACATTTCTCTTTCAAGTATAACCACTCTCCTACTTCCATCACCATAGACTATGTTGCCTTTTGTTGTTTGAATTTTTAGCTTCATTAAAATATATGTGCATAAGTGGAATCTTGCCATTTGTATTTTTTTTATTTGTCTTCTTCCAGTGGCATTGTTTGTGGCATTTTACATGTGTTATTGTGTGTGGAAGTAAGTTGTTCATTTTTATTGCTATAAGGGGTTATGTGAATATGACACAATATCCATCCAACTGCTGATGGACATCTGAGTGTTTCCAGTTGGCTACTGTCACAAATCATGCTTCTGTGAACATTCCTATAGATATCCTTTGTTGCACATATGTATTCATTTCTGTTGATCTAGTAGTAATGGCATTGCTGAGTCACAGAGTCCATGTACGTTCAGCTTTAATACATACTGTCGCAGTGATTCCCAATGATAATTGCTAATTTTCACTTCCATCAGTGGTGTGCGTGAATTCCAGTTTTTCTACTACCTTCTCAATATTTGATATTATTTTGACTCTTTAAATTTTAGCATATTAATGTGTGGTTGTATTGTATCATAGTTTTACATTTTTATTTCCCTTTTGACTAATGGAGTTGGTGCTGTTAATTTTAGCATTAGACTGCTAACCACTAGGTCACTGGCTCAAACCCACCAGCTGCTCCACAGAAGAAAGATGAGACTATTTGATCTTTGAAAGATTTACAGGCTCAGAAACCTTACCTAGGGAGGGTCTCTGTGCATTGGAATTGACTCCCTGGCAGGGGGGTTGTTTTTCAGTGTTTTCACAAATGAGATCAGGTACCTTTTCAGATGTACTCTTGCCCTTTGGACATCTTATTGCATGGAGTATTAGTTCCTGCTCTTTTTTACTGTTTTTTCTATTGGGTTATCTTTTTTTTCCTATTTATCTGAAAAAATAATTTCTTTATGTATTCTAGATAAAGGTCGAGTCTTGGTTCATGGGTTGTAAATATCTCCTTCCGTGCTGTGGCTTTCTTTCTTTTTTTAGTGGTGTCTTTCAATAAGCAAAATTAGATACCATGCCATTAATTTATCTTCTTTATTGTCAAAGCTTTGTTATTTTCTTTTTAATAACGTTCATACTCCAATGTCTTTAACATATTAGCCTGTGTTATCTTCTAACACTTTATTGCTTTTACACTGAGCTTTACAATTTAATTGGAGCTTACTTTGTGGGTACTGTCAGGGCCAAGATTCATTCACCTTTTTATATGTGATTACCTATTTGTCATAGAACCGTTTAGTGAAAAGAGAACTCTGTAGTCCATCTTTTATTATATATAAAGCATATTTATATATTTATATTACATATGAAGTTTCTAGTTATTTGTGTATTTCCCCCCTGGGTTCTCAGCTGGTCTTTTTTTCTTTCTTTACTATATAGCACCTATTGCCATCGAGCCAATTCTGACTCATAGCAACCTCCACAGAGCTTCTGAGACTGTAAGTCATTATGGGAGCAGACAGCCTCACCTTTAACCTGCACAACAGCTGGTGGCTCTCACCCGCTACACTCATGGTTAGCAGTCCAACCTGGAGCTCACTACGCCATCCCACGACGCCTTCACTTTATTGCTTCAGAAAGCTTCATATGTGGTAGTGTCAATTCGCCAACTTCGCATTTCTTTCTCAAGATAGTCTTGGAGATTCTTGGCCCTTTTCATTTCCATATAAATTTTAGAATCAGCCTGTCAAGGTTAAAATAAAAAAAAAATACGTTGGGACATTTTATTCGGATTGCACTAAATCTATAGATCAATTTGAAGAGCATTGACATCTTTAAAATATGCCAGTCTATAAACGCTATTTAGTGAATTTAATTGGATACCAACTCCATGTTAATCACTCTGCTGAGCTCAGCTGTGGTCCTTGCCCTTGAAGGACTTTCAAGTGAGTAAACAAACACTTAAACACAAGCTATAACTAATGGGATAATCTCATCACTCACAGCACTAACAGCTGACATTTATTAAGGCTTCATTACATATGGAGCATGGTTTTCAAGGGCTTTTCCTTTATTATTTCATTTAAACTTCATTCTGGTGTTGTGAGCTAGACGCTGAAGTAGAATGTGCCAGTTCCGAAGCTATTTTGCATTTCAATTGGGTCCAAGCAAAAAGAGCCCCAGGGTCATCTGAGACATCAGGAGACACGTCACACAAAAAGTGACCATTGAACTGATAGCTGAAGGAGATTGCCAGGGACAGGGGAGGTGGAATATTTCAGGTCTATGAATAACATGTAAAAAGCATGCAAGGTGAAATGTTAAGACCTTTCAAGACCATGCAAGTGAAATGTTAAGACCTTTCAAGAAAAAAATGTTTCTAAGTAAACTGTTTGCAGTTGAGTGGATTCCAAGTCACGTTGCCCCGGTGTGTCCGAAAAGAACTGGGTTCTGTAGGGTTTTCAGTGGCTGATCTTGCAGAAGGAGATCCATCCTTTCTCCTGAGGTATCTCTGCGTGAACTGGAACCATCAATCTTTTGGTTATTGGCCAAGCATATTTGCACCGACCAGGGATTTCCTTTTCAGGACACTGCCCTTGAACCCTAGGAGTGCAATGTGGAGAGGCAGGAGAACAGGTATACGGGTGAAGCTGGAGAGGCCGTCTGGTGGCCTTTGGGTCTGTGGAGTTCACACCTCACCAGGAAGGCAGTGATGAGGGCAGACATTGATTCTCTCTCTCAGCTGAGTTCTCCAGAAGCAGACTCCTCAGATGAGGATTTGGCTGTATGAGTCGCTAAAGACATGCTAGGGGGAAAGTAATGAGAAAGTGTGGCAAGCAGGGCAGGGGAGAGCAGGGAGGGAACCCAGCAGCACGGTGACCCTTCAGGAGAGTGTCCTTCGGATTCTATAGAGGCATTTTGGAATGCAAGTTGTCACTTAGTTTTGTCTTCATCTAATACAAGGGACTGGAGAGTCTCTGGCCAGAAACCAAACCTGAGGCTGGTCTTCCAGAAAAAGAAAGAAAGAAAGACTAATAAGAAGTCACAGGTGCTAGAGGTTGGAGGCAAAGACACATCAACATCAGGGCCACATACAAACCCATACAAATGGCAAAGAGGAATTTGGGGAGATCTGGATGAAGCACCTATACTGTTTGCTACTTTGTTCCCTGTCCCCCTGTCACTCTAGAATTGTCTTATTACCTTTGAATTCACCCACCCAAACCCTAGACACTCCTAATTTTCTTTGGGGCTCTCTGTCAGTCTGTCCTGCGAGATTCCAATTCCGTGTCCTCATCTCAGGACCGCAGTCTTCTACTTGACTCTGCAGAGTTTCATGTTACGGTGGTTTTACTCGTCACTTTTGCTTTATTGTCCGCCTGACATTTAATAGCTATCACTAGCCAATCAGAAGGCCCTTTCACTCACATGGGGTGAACCGACCAATGCCAGAGCGAGACTCGCCGTTTTTGTGTCTCAGGACTCTTCTCTGGGATAGCATTGCACTGATGGCTCACAGTCTCGGCTACGTTATCCAGGATGGTGATTTTATTCTTTAGAGATTCATTTTCGGGACTGAAACTAGTTTCAGGAATTTGGAAGACTAAATTTCCTTCCCCAAAATGGCATTTCTTAAAATCTCGTAAATATTACCCGTTAAGTGAATTTACTTTAAAAGGCATGTACATATGTAAATATATTTATGATTATGGGGGAAATAGATCTATGTGCATATATTTATAGGTGTAGTAGTAGGGTAGCAGATGGACATTGGGCCTCCACTCATGTACTCCCTTAATATAAGAACACTTTGCTCAACTAAACGGTCTTTCCATGATACCCACCTTGACTGGTTTAAGACTTCCCTGGTGAGAATTTTATTTTAGGCAGTTAGCAGGGTCTGAAATGAAGGAAGGGGGCGAGAGGAGAAGTTTTCTACTGAACGAGAAAATCCTCTCCCCGCCCCGCTGGCCCTCGTGGTCTGGGATGTCGCCGAACTCACCTCCCTCTGATTTGAGACGTGGAAGACCATTGAGCCGTATACTTTTAACCTGCTTTCTTCTCTCTCCACAGTGACGCTTTCAGCTGCTCCGCCCTCCTACTTCAGAGGATTCACATTAATTGCTCTCAAAGAGAACAGAGAGGGTGATAAGGAAGAAGACCACGCCGGGAGCTTCCAGGTAGGGCCTCTCCTAGGCTTGCCCAGTGGCCTCCCTTTCCAGGTAGATTGAAGGCGAGTGGAAGGTGGGCGCAGTGAGGAGATGGAAGCAAAGGAGAGAAGAGTATCTGTCGTGGCTTTTCGTGCAAATCCCACAACCACTGCCCAGGTGTGACAGAACGATTTCCCGTAAAAGACCTCCAATGGACAGCAGCAGAGGCCTCACGCCCACGGGGTTGGCCACCAGACAGGGGGCGCTTGCAGTGCAGGTGAGGGCGCCCTCCTCTGGGCTCACAGTGCCATTTGGCAGCAGGCAGTCCGAGCACTGATGGACCCTGGCTCGACCTGGACCAGGGTTTTTCCTGCACCATAATTTCCTGACGGTCTGGTAATGCTCAAGCGTAAACAGCACAAGAGCTCAGGGCTGCCAGACTGGAGGGAGTTCAAAGCACAGGAGAAGGACTATTAAGGGAATGAAGAGATTGATTTATGATGGAAGATTAAAAGAACGAAACATGCTTTGCTTGGCTAACCGAACGGGGCTGAGTTTAAGAGGTGGTAATGGTCTTTAAATGTCAGTCCTCACGGAGCTCCCGCTTCCAGGGGAGGCGTCCTTCGACTTTGTACAAAAGGGCGCAGCGAGACGAAAGTGGGTCAGGAGAAGAAAGGGAACCTCCAAAGTGGGGGCGCCGGCAGGGAGTCATATGTCGCCGTGGAATCGTCTTCCAAGGAGACGGCGGGAACAGCATCCCCTTCCCAAGGTTGGGAAAGAGGCCGGCCAGTTGTCAGACCAGATCCCAGAAGGACTGGGGCCGCCGTCATAGGAGGAGGCCTGGCCAAATGTGCTGGGACCATTTCTCACCTCGAGTTGCCATTGTTGTGGAGTTCATCTTTATCTGGCATTTTCATACATCGAAGGGAGATTCAAAACAAAACAGCCCAACAGTCCGGGGAAATGATGCATAAACTCGTGTACAAGCCGAGTTCTTCAGCACATTTTTTAATGCAGTTTTTGTGGTGAAATTAGGTGCCTTGGCTGATATTCGGGGCGGCTTATACTCGAGTATATACGTGGTTCCTGGGGACTCTGGTACAATGTAAGGATTTGGCCAAGTCCCGAAGTGTCTTGTTCACCCAAAGACATCTTTGGGTCCTTTGTGGGCAGGTTGGATTTTCTAATCTCTGTGGTGAAACATTTTCATTGATGGAGATTCTGTTCCCCTGGGGCTGTGAATCCCATGGTCATTGCAACGCCTCTCTGTGTTCCTCGAGAGCAGGAGCTTCTTGGTAGGTAGCTGAAGAAGGGAGCCAATGCTGATATTAACAGCAGCCAATATTTCTTGGGTAATTAGTACTGTTAGGCCCTGTGTGAAGTGCTTTACCTTATCTTAGTTTAACTTTGAAAACAACCATAGTCAATAGGGACTATTGTCTTCATCTGACAATCTTACATATAGATCAGGACATTGAAGCCAGAGAGGTTAAATCACTGGCCCAAGGGACTAGGAAATAGGAAGGTCAGGGCTCTCTAGCTATCAGGTGTTTAATTCCAAAATCTATTGCTTCTACCTATTAGCAAACAAATTACTGGCACGGGTGTTTGGACAGTGCATCCGTTTGCTTGTCATTACGGAACAAGGGAGATTCATGCACGAACGCAGCCCATAAACCATTAAAATATAACACACACCCACACACACCCGGGCCGCATACTAATTTATCCGGAGGCTGGGTCAATTATCAGATTCTGGCAGCTGAGAGGCTTCATCCCTGACTGTTAGGAAGGGTGATGTCCTAAGAAGAGAAAGAAGCAGGGGGTGGGAGAAAATAGGGGGGTCAAGAAGACCACGTGTTCTAAGTCTTCACCAAAGGTAACATGGAACTGTTTTAACAAGCTGCTTATAGTCAGGCCTGACGGGAGCAGGTCTCCTTTCTTTCCTGCACTTGAAGAAGTTGGCCGTCCTCCCTGCTTCAAGGTTGTTTCTGCTTATCTTAATCCTGCTCCTTGCAACTGATCGGTGAATACAGGGCCCTGTCCTCAGGCGACAATGAGTGAATATTTCTGAAACGAATGAGAGAACAACTCTTCTGCCTGCTGTCCCTAGCCCTGTCCTGTAGGGCACTGTTTAGAACTCGGATCTCCGTCACCCCTCTTCTTTCTCTTGGCGTTTTGTTTTGTTACATTGAACTTGTTCTTGGAGTACAGTCTCTGAATCTGCAGCTTCAGCACCAGCTGGGCATTGACTAGAAATGCAAATTATCCAGACCCACCCAGGCCTACCAAGTCAAAAACCCTGAGGTGGGGCCTGGCAAGCCACTGTAGGTTTGTTTATAAATTTGGTTGTGGTTGAGAGTACACATAACCCCAAAAAAAGGGAAACAAACTCATTGCCCTCAGCGCTGACGCACAGCCTCCCTGTAGGACTGCGCAGACTTGCCCCTGTGGGCTTCTGAGACTGTAGCTCTTTCAGAAAGAGGAAGCCCCCTCTTTCTCCCCCTCACAATACAATATGCATCAATCCATCCGTTTCTGCATGTAGAATTCCGAGACATTGATTACATTCTTGGACCTGTGCTACCATGCTCACTCTCTCGTCTGAGCTGCTCTTTCCCCATTGACCGAAACTCATTGGCACCCCCTCCCCCAAAGTTTCTATCTAATCCTTCAAGTTACTGTTTTCCATTTGATCCCTTCTAGAGAGTTCTAAAAGAGCAGAATTCATAAGACAGACTTTTATTATAATAATTATTATTAATTAAGCTAAATTATTTATTTTTAAGACACTTTCTGGGGATATGTTTGCTTTAAGATTTAAAGATGATCTCAGCACAATAGGGAGGGATAAAGGGGGAACCAATCACAATGATCTACCTATTACCCCCTCCCAGTGGGGCAGATAACAGAAAAGTGGGTGAAGGGAGACATTGGTCAGTGTAAGACATGAATAATAATAATAATACTTTATAAATTATCAAGGGCTCATGAGGGAGAGAGGGAAAAAAAATAAAGAGCTGATACCAAGGGCTCAAGTAGAAACAAAATGTTTTGAAAATGATGATGGCAACAAATGTACAAATGTGCTTGACACAGTGGATCTATGTATGGATTGCGATAGAGCTATATGACCCCCCAATAAAATGATTAACAAGAAGAAGAAGAAAAGAAAAAGTTTTCCCTATCAATAAGGCAAAAACTTTCCAGCCCTGGGGGAAAAAAAAGATTTAAAGATGATCTCAGGACAATAGTTTCAGGGCTTCCTCCAGTGCCCATCCAGTGCTCCAGAAAGGCTCGAGTCCAGGAGTATTTGAAATTATGTTCTGAATTTTCCCACTTTCGACTAGCATTTGTCGATAAATTCTTTGAATAAACTCGCCACGAATACCTTCCATTTCTTCTGGTCTCATGGCAAAGAGTAAGTTACTCATGGAGGCAACTAACCCTGCATTTCATGTCCTCCTTCTATCCCTGACTCTTCTTTCTCCTCTCTTGCTCCAGAATAGAGACCAATCGCTATGCCCCTTCTCCCCCACGCAATCTGTTTGAACAAGCCCTCCCAGTGCTTCTGAAACGTGCTCAAATTTGAACACCGTTGTTGTACGGGATGCCAACCCCACCCATTCAACATGAATTCCCCCACCATCACATCAACGCATCTGTCTATTCCTATCTATCCTCTTCACGGCTTCCACCAGCCCTAGAGGGATCAGAGTGAGATTTTGTTGTTTTAATGTGAAAATGCCTAGCCTGTAATAACAATGACAGCTAACACTTACTCGGTGCTTGGGTGCTAGATAGTGTTCTAAATGGTTTCCATCTGTGAACCCATTTACCCCTTGGAGCAACATGATGAGGTAAGAATTATTATCCTATTTTTTACAGATGAGGACATTGTAGCTTGGAGCAATTAGGTAGCCTTGCTCAGACCACCCAGCGTTAAGGGCTACAGCTGGGATTCACACCCGGGCGTTCCGGCTTCAGATCCTTGCTCCTCACCAGTGTGTACATGTTGAGTGAAATAATGAGGCTTCCATGGCCTTTGACAGTAGCACTCTCTGTGCCAGGTGCTTTGTAGGCATCATCTTACTTAATTCTCCCAACCACCCTGTGAGGCTGGTGTTGTTATCCCCAAGTTTCTGATGATGAAGCTGTACCACCAGGGAGCAAAGTCAATAGGCCAAAGCAACCCAACATCTGCCAAGGGCTAACCATTGAGCCAGGGATTTTCTCACCCTTCACCTCCACCCCTGCCCTGCCTTTGGGCCATTACTATGTAAGCTCCTCTTGATTTAGCACTCCATCCAAGGTTGGAGGGAAGAGGAATCAGAGCTACGAAGGGGCGCCCTCCCCACCCCAAATGGACAAAAGCTCCATTAGTCGGAGCTTTCAAAGCATGCGTTTTTCCCACTAGGTGAGCATCAAGCAACTCACTCTGAGTTAGTGCACCCAGTGACATCACCTGGGAAGGTTCTCTCTGCTCACAGTGAATTTTTTCATAATAGCAATTTTCCTTGAACCTCGTTGTTTGTGATGGCTGATTGTAGAGAACAGCATGTGGCTGTGAAATTTTGTTTCCTGCTCAGGAAAAATGCCACAGAAACTGTTGTGGTGTTGCACACAACTTATAAGGGCAGAGCTACGGGAAAAACTCAAGTGTATGAGTGGTTTCCTCATTTCAAAAAAGGTGACACGTCGACTGATGACAAACCTCGTTCTGGATGTCTGTCAGTTTCCCAAAAGGACAGAAATGTTGACTCATAGGGCATTTGGAGCTCATTCCACCAGGTCAGACTGTTAATCAAGATTTCTATTTAGAGGTTCTGAAAAGATTTCATAACAGTGTGTGACAAAAAAAGCCTGATTTGTGGCAGGCAGGGGGATGGTTTTGCCACCATGACCATGCATCTGCTCATGCAGTCATCTCAGTACACCAAGTTTTGGCAAAAAAACCCATCATGCCTCTTTTGCCCCACACACCTGACTCACCTAACCTCACTCCAGGCGACGTCTTTTTGTTTCTGCAA